GGGGGGGGTCGGGCTCTGCTCCCAAGGGACAAGCAACAGCACAAGAGGCAATGGTCTCAGGTTGTGCTAGAGGGGGTTTAGGCTTGATATTAAGAAAAATATTTTCCTGGCCAGGGCTGTGCCAGGCTGCCCAGGGCAGTGGTGGAGTCCCCACCCCTGGAGGGGTTCCCAAGCTGTGGAGATGTGGGGTGAGGGACACGGGGCAGTGTGGACCTGGCTGGGCTGGGGGATGGTTGGGTTCCATGATCTGGAAGGTCTCTTCCAACCAAAACAATTCCATGACCCTATGGCTACCAGACTGAAGGAGTGGAGACAAGTCTGAGCCCTCCAGCTCTGTTTCTGTGCAAGGGTCCATCACATCCTTTCAGTAGTTTTTCAAAGGAACAGAACACAAACAAGGGAATATTTTCTTCCTGGATGTTTTGTCTGGACATAAGATCTGGCTGCAGCCTTGTAGCTGGCTGCCTTGTCACAAATGGATCTGCCTCAACACAAATATCTGCCTAATTGGTTGTGAGAACAATTGCAAGCCAAACCCCTCTGTTGCACCTGGGTGTCCACACTGCCTGGACTTGCTGCAGCCCCAGCTCAGCTCTGCAGTGACTCATCTGTCACAGGCTGCAGAACAATCCATGCTTCAAATTTCTGGCCAGCTCATGAGCAAAACATGAGGAGTTTCTTATCTGTTGATAAGTTTTGATTAGTCATTGATAAAGTTTCTCTTTCTGGCACAGGGATAGTGCTGATTAACAGCATTGTCTTGGCTGATGCCATTTTTCTTCCTCCCAGATGTTGGGCTTGCAGAGGTCTAGGTGAGAATGAGTTGTGAAGAGCACTGTGGTACTCACCCCCTGAGCTGGAGAGGAATTCTGCCTGGGCCCAGGAACACCTTTCCCATCATGGGACTGGGCAGAACGAGAGGCTGGTTTGGTTGGCTTCTTAAACTCAAATGATTCCTGGATTTAAAAGGAGCAAAATGACCATCTTACCAGAATTACTGATCCTGTGTCTTGCTAGAATTTTTTTCTTTTTAAAACCCTACCCCATATTTTGGATTTAAGTTCTCTGCCAGGAATAGTCTGAAGGCAATTATTTTCAAATTAAAGATGTAACACTAGTGATTCATTTAACCTAACCAAGCTTTTATCCTCTTGGTATCACCTTAAGGTTTTTCTTTCTTTTAGCAGCCTCCTGCAAAGACTTGACTCCTCTGCAAAGGAAACCATCTGTAAGGGCAGCCAGGGCTGGCTCCTGACACCCACTCCTCTCTGGAGACCTGTCAGAGTCCTGCTGGTGGGATTCCCAGCTGTCAGGGCTTTCAGACCAGGCAGGAAAAAGGTTTGTGCTGCAAGGAACAAGGGCTCCCCATGGCAGCAGCAGAAAGATGAGGTGATGTATCTAGACAGCTTTCTGGAGACACCCCCTCGTGCCCATCAAAACCTGGCACTGTGAAGACACTTTCCCTTGCCAAAGCCTAAAAGGGGTCA